TTATGATAACCTACGTGATTTTTGGCTGGTTTTGATTTTAGGCAGTTTCTTATAATGCCTGGGGAAAGCAGGAGAACATAAATGTTACTAGCTCAACTGGTTTAAGCTGGCCTTTTCATTTGATTTAAAGGTGTACTTTTTTGGTTGCTATATTTTGCTCAAGAGATTTTAGTGGTTTCTCAACTACAGATTTCAAGTTAAAATGTCATATTTAGAGACAGATACTCAGAGATTGCTCAAAACTCTTTCTCCATCAAAGCCCATAATCCGAGGTCCTTCAGTAGTGAGGAACTATGCTGCAGCTAAAGGAGCCCACCTAGAAGCACCAGTGTACTTCATCATAACCTCTGTGCGGTTTTCCCATCACCTAAGAATCCAAATCCCAGCTCACCAAATACAACTGTATAGAATTTTTTAAAAAATTCAAACACAGTTCTTCTCCCAGCTACGAGCACAAAAACTCGGAGGAATTTTGGCATCAAGAGCAGTAACATTTATACCAGCATCCTTCAGGTGCAATGCCACATTACGAATTAAGCATGAATTCAAAACCATTTCAGGAGTGGTTATCTCAACAGTTGCTCTGTCAGCACTAGAGTGCCCTAAGCTGGTCCCATGCTCCAGTGACATAGATCCAAGTCTGGTGAGCTTTGCACATTTGCATGCAGTGTCCACACTAAAAGGGCACTGCTGTCTTCAGAGGCCCTTTGGAGAGCTTGGATCAAGATAGGATGGCACATGGCCCAGGCTAATAAGATGTTCCAGACATTAGCTGACCTTGTCCTGGTGTATGGGATAAATGAAAGAAAAACTTGTATCCAGTAGTTATCTGGTTTCCCACTGGTTGGTTGTGTAAGAACCATGTTTTCAATGTGGAATCTGTAACCAGGGCAACTTAGATCTTTTTAGAGGGCACAGGATTGGAAAATAAGCTCTGCATTACCTACAACCTGAGATAACCATCACGAAATAGCATAGGCTTAGGCAGCGAGACATGTCTGGTAGGAAGGAGATGAGGAGAGGAGGAGGAGGCTGCAGAAGGGTTAGAGTCAGGCAGCTGTGGAAAGAAAAATGCCCTCTGTGGCCTACACACCTGCTACCTGCCCACTTATAGGGTCTGATTCGTGTCAAATTTTTATTGTAACTTGACCTAAGGGTTGAATAGGTTAAAATGTATTTAGAAAAAGTAGAAGTAAGAACAAAAGAATTCTAAAAGAGGTTTCCTTCTGTCTGCACTAGGATAGAAATGAAGAAAGATAAGAGGGAGCTGCTGCTCCCTGTGGCTTTCTGTCCCACTCCCCACCTCAACAGTTAGAATTTTATTTCATATCAAAGATTCATAGAATATGGATTTAGATGCAAGAAAATGCTACCTAGATTTTAGAGAGACTATATTCTTGATATTAACAGGTTTTAGTATTTGTGATTTTTCATTGTTTCATATCCTTTGCAAAAGCGAAGGAGAAAACCTCACAATATTTCCTCTAATAAAACCTTTCTTTTGATGTTTTCTGTCCTCTGGACAAATTTACAAAATGAAAGAATATGCAACACAAATTAATCCCCGAGTTTAACTTAAAATGTGGTGGATAAATCCATAGAAAGCCTTAAACAGTATTTATGTGCTGCAAGTTTTAGAAATGTTTTTCTATATGGCTAGGATAAACCAGAAAAATAGATAAAAGAGTCAGTACACCTTTTAATTTTTTTTTTAAATAAAATTAAAAAACAATCAAACTCATCATGTGTGGGAACTGAAATTAACAAATTAGTATTCCTTAGAAGCCACACAAACTGCAACAATTCCTGAAATCAATTTTCCACATTCAAGGCAATGTGAGAGAGAGACATATTTACGTAACTCCTTCCAGAGCTTGGAGCAGCACTGACAAATACACATGGGGCAAGAGAAAAGAAAATGTTATGACACCCATTCAGCAAACCCAGGAAGATCCACCCAGAAAAATGCTTCTCCCTTTAAATTTTCTGCTGCAGCCTTTGAATTTTCAGTAGTTTTATTTCATGTTTAATTAAAAAAAAAATCAACTCAATGTCTTCTTTAGAGACACAAGACATACACTCTTATCTGTGATGGTGAACTCCTTTGAGGCCTCACAGACCAGGCTGCAGAAAGCAGAGGTCCAGCAGTGGCACAGCACCTCCGTCAAGGGCAGGTACAGAACACAGTTAGTGCATCTACGGCAACTCAGAACAGTGGAGATTTAAATTAAGTGCCACCACATAAATGGTAGCCTGAACAATTTGCTCCACAACACACGCACACACTCACCGCTCACACTCGGGCAGGTCTGAATGTGCATCACAAGCACTGAGTGTCTATACAGTCACCTGCAGTGGTATTAGCTGAGGAAAATTACAGTGGGTTCTCACAAGCTACAACAGAGCTGTGAACATCAGCCTAGAGAAGGCCAGAAAAGATACCAGCTCAATCGCATGGACTCAGTCCCCATCTTTATGGTAATCCAATGGGTCAGGCACATCCACACAAGAAAATGCTTAAAAAAAAAAAAAAAAAAGGCGAGAAGGTGAAGAAGATGTCTGTACATAATACCATGTAAGTCAATGTGTTTGGATAATGGCAAGCTCATGTTCTACTTGCTTCAGTTTCCAATTCCTCACTGAATGGAGTAGTTAGAAAAGACGGATGATACCATGTGGAAAAAATAGGTGAATTAAAAGGACAAAATGAGGAAAGTAAGAAGAAGAAGAGAGGCAATCAAGAGTAGGTGGAAAAACTTTTGCCAATTCACTGACCTTGTATATTCAGTTAGATTTTTGAAAGATAATTTTTCCCTTTTGAAATACTCATCATTGGACACATGCCTGGATGAGTCAAAAAGAAGACACATGGGCACTTAACAGACAAGGAGATTTAACATATTGCCATTGTTCTCCAGAATTTATTTCAGATAATGAATGTTCCAGAACAGGATTTTTTTTCCTTTGTTCCAAATATTGCAGAAAGTATTTAACTTAAACCAGTCTGCTAATGTATTTTCATTGTAACCTTGTATCTTTGACAGTAATGATAGCAGCCAGAAACCCAAGAAACAAACAATATAGGGAAAACTAGGTCATCAGTCATACTATGGAATGAAAAACGTAATCAGAGCTACTTTTAATAAATGCTCACCCAGCATTTTTGCAGTTCTGTGTTTCTTTTACAGAAGATTTGAAGCAGTTAAGTATTCTATGTTGAATTTTTATTTCCAAAAGCAGTTATAAATTAAGCAGCCTACTGTGCTTAGAGTAAGGTTAGGATCACTGTACTAAACGTCAAGTTATTCTTTCAGACTCTGCGCTAAAAATACAACTTGGTGAAAAATCCCTGCTACTGCTAACAACCCTGTGAAGTTCTTTGAAGTGCAGTGTGGCTGTCAAATATGTCAGTTGCTGAGGGAGCGTCTCATGGCGCTGAAGAATGAAATATTTGATTTGTGAGTCAGGAAAAGCGGAATAGAGATGTGCTGACACAGAACTGAGCAGGCTGAATAGTCCATTCACCAGCTCTTGAGTTGGATACGCAAATGTCAGATGCCAGAGGGAGATCAAAGCACCCCAGGTTGACTGTGAGCTCTGTGTGGCACATCCGGAGCCGTTAGAGAGTCTATCTGTGCACTGTCCTGCAACCAAGCAAAAGTCATTGCAGAATAGAGACCAAAATGCAGAAGAAGGCATTAAGCACAGTGAGACAGGTATTTGGAAAGACAATTAGTGGCTTTAAGGCACCCTGGAAGCCGTTGGGTTGAACACACCATCTCTGGCACTCCAGCCACATGTTCTGCTGTAGTTCTGCTGTTTGAGGAGGACGTCTCACAGCCTCTACCTCAGAGATATGTTTTTTATAGGGTAAAAGAACATCCTGACAAATGCTATGTCTCAGGACCAGTTCTTAGTGTTATGCATTATATGCAACAACATCTCAACCCCTTTGATTATGACCCTCTTCTGTTAGCCACTACCCAACATAGTGTGAAAGCCCTACTCCAAACCCCAAAATACTAACATCACTCACACAGCTTTGATTTTGCTAAGCACGATTTTTTTTCAATATATTAGAAAAAACCAAAAAGCTCAGGAAGAACATTTAGTCTTTCTCATCTTAAAATTATAACTATGCCTCCTAAACAGGGTCTGCAAAATAAAAATATGTCAGAGGACTTTGAGTTCACTTCTTCTTTTGCAACATAATGCAACACATTTTTAGTTTCTTCACCTCTAAAATCATAAAAGAAGCTGCTGTCACTCTGCTGGTAAAACAGATTTCTCTTCTTATTCACATTCTCAAGATACTTCTAGTTTTTGTCAAGTTGAATCTGAGCTAGTTTAGAGATTGTTGGTGTTTTAATGTAATCGTTTAGATCTTTAAAAGCTGACATATTTATTTGAAGGAAATAAAAGAGAACAGTTTTACTACTATTTCTAGTACCTGAACAATAGAACTATTGCTAGATGCTTTTATTCTCCAGGGTTCAAATCTAACTCAAACATCTTCGTTTATTTTTAATTTAATTTTTATATTTATATATAAATTTGAAGCTTTCTTACTAAATTCCTCCCTTACTAAATTGCTCCTGATAAGAAGCAGCCATAAGTGAAGACTGGCATGTGCTACACTCCTCAAAACCACCTCAACATGTTAATCCACCTGATGTACATGTGTTTGGTACACTTCTTTTGGTACTGTCACAAGAGACTGCTACCCTGGTGAGAAGCTCTGTGGTGTAAGAGGTCATCATGTTTGCCAAAGGTGAAAGATGAAGCACTGAACTCCACGAAACTGGAAATCGTACCACGGTTAATCTGACAATGCATGCCAAGCATGTGCCAAGACACAAAGCCACATGACTAAAGGAGAAAGTGTCAATCTTCTTTTAACGCTGCCTGGATTTTATATCACATTCCTAATGTTGTTTAAACCAAATATTAATATTTGACTATGAAAAGGCTGATTTTGCTTTATTTAAAAGTAGGCATACAGCCAAGGACAGTTGAGGGAAATTAGTGGTCTGTAGGGTTAGGCAGGAAGAGCATTGGTCACACCCTCAGTAATGCTTGGATGTCTGTGAAAGACATAAGAAATACTCAGAGTTTTTAGAAAGAAGAATCTCTGTACCACTTTGCAGATTAACCTTATAATCTTGTAATGAATTCCACAGTTCTTTCAATTCTTATGAACAATAACTTTCAAAGAATCTGTTAGAAATAATGAAGTTATGATTAAGTGCAAATAAGAAAAGTATGCCAACCTCAGGCTGAGGTGGCTGGCAAGCCATAGAAACATTTTTACATGCTTAAACTAGCAGGAGAGTGGAATAATTGATTGGAAATTTTCAGAGGAAATAAACTTTCATTGGAAAATATCATTTTGTGCTCAGGGGGTTTCACTCAGAAAGTTCATTTGGCGTTCAAGCACTCCACTGCAGACAATTCATGTTCAGGAGCAGGAGTACCACATTTGTGCCCTGTCCAAGCTAGAAGTTATGTCAGCTCATTAGCTTGAGATCTGTATCACCTAAAAGCAGCTACCTGGCCCTCTGATCTGAGTACTAAATTCCCTTGCCCTAAACTGCCTCCCCTTCAGTTGGGTCTACCTCAGAAAAACAAATAAGCCCTCACTGCTGAGTCTTTTAAAGGAATTTCATATTTCCATGAACTACAGATAGTAGGACACACAACTCATTTGGAGCATTTCCTCAAACAGGAATCTTACTGCTACTTCAGCCGTGTTGCAATTCATTAATGTTGATTTTTTTTTTTCTTTTTAAACTGGTATCCATTGTATTTATTTGTTGATTGTTTTTCAATATTTACACAGTGCATAATGATCCACACATCCTGTGTTCATTAAGTGGTTCATTTATCTTGTTACAAACCAAACTAGGAAATCTCTAGGAAGCGTGGCCAGCAGGTCAAGGGAGGTAATTCTCCCCCTTATTCCATTCCCATGAGACCCCACCTGGAGTACTGCATCCAGCTCTTGGATCCCCAACACAAGGATGTGGACATATTGGAATGAGTCCAGAGTAGGACCACAATGATCAGAGGGCTGGAGGAGCTCTCCTATGAAGACAGGCTGAGACATTTGAGATTGTTCATCCTGAAGAAGGCTCCATGAGACCTTACAGCAGCTGTCCAGTACCTAAAGTGGCCTACAGGAAAGGTGGAGAGGAACTTTTCAGAAGGGCAAATAGTGATAGAACAAGGGGGAGTGGCTTTAAAGAGAGTAGCTTTAGGTTAGATATGAAGATATTCTTTACTGTGAGTGTGGTGAAGCACTGCAATAGTGGTGGATGCCCCATCCCTGGAAGCGTTCATGGCCAAGTTGGACCAGGCAACCTGGTCTAGTTTAGGTGACCCCTGCCCATTGTAGAGAGGTTGGAACTGGATCACAATTCAGGTCCCGTCCAACCCAAACCATTCTGTGATCCTATGATCTCCAAACTGTTTTGCAAGAGCTAATGGCCAGAGATTTATCACCTGCAAATCAGTATGCAGGACCAGGGGTTTCAAAATTCCTCCATTCCATATATATCCAAATGATATCTTTTAAAACCCCAAGTGCAATCTAGCCACTCTACCTAGAGCCTGCGGGGCAGGTGGCTACTTGGAGCATAGGTCCTGAACCACCCCTGTGCTAGATTGTCCCTGTTGTTCCCATTTGCCTGGTCCCTCTTCTCCCTACCCTCATTTCATAGCTGGAACAACCATGTCTTGGTCCTCTTACGGGATATTTCAATACAAAATATAATATTAGCAGTAAGACTCTTGAAACCTTCTGAAAGGGAAACAAAAGGAGACTGTTCATACCATTACACCTCTCTGTGCTATCACACAGTTCACCAAAGTTCCTTTTTCTTTGCTTCTTCACCAGGTTGTCTCGTATCAGCCTATGGCAGAGCAGGGAGAGCGGCTACTCCTGGATATATTTTAACTAACCCCACTGGAATCAGCTAGATCTTTCCAGCTTTACCCATACATTACTCTGAAGTACAGAAGATATCTATTCCTATGATCTTAAAATGTCTGTGTTGTCTTGCACCAACACTCTGCATGGTCCTTTTCTGTAATCATGTTCACATACTGCTGCAGGTAATAAATACATTTTACTTTGACCAAAGAGATGATAAGATTTTTTAGGGAAAAGCTGGAGATTATCAAAATACTTTGAGATGAACTATTGCATTTATTTTATGAAGCTTTCTAAATGGTTTGTAAAGTTGAACATAATAAAATAGCTTCAGAACACTGTATTGAAATGGAAAAAGAAAGTCTATTACCTTTTCCAGGTTCACCCTTATCCAATATTTATTTTTTTTAATTCAGCGGAAGTTAATAAGGAATTTCAGGATTTTTTTTCTATAAAAAAATGGATTTATGTCAGGAAATGAAAACTTTTGTTCTAATTTCAAAGTTGTTTAGAAAGGAAATTGCATACTTCCATTTCTTAATGATAAAAACATATATAATAATAGTAGTCACTCCTCTGTTACTTGTTTGAGGAAAAAATAAAAAAGAAACCATATATTAATATTTGATCTTCTTCTAAAATTCTTCTTTCAGTTATTTAAAACTGTGTGTCTGTGACATCTAGGTGCCACAGACATTTACATTTTACCCTGTGTAAAGCAGAAATTCTCACCTAGACCAAGTTTAGAATTGTTTCTGAGTGCACAAGGTAGCATTGACTCCACACTACATCCGACTCCAGCTTATTCTTGAACATCCTGGGGGACACTGGGAGGCCAGTAGGAAACTACAGAATGCCGAGAGATGGGTGCTTTTGATATTAGTTTATCCCACATGCTTAGAGTGACACTTTTAAGAGCTGGAATTAACAAGACTTGGCATCAGAATATTGTTTTTTTCTTCCTCTTCTTGCTCAAAATGATTCTGCACTCTGGTCTTATACACACAAACTTCTGTTCTCCTGCTGTGGAGTCAGTTTGTGGAGTCCATGAACATTCACCCTAGCTTAAGGAGGAAGAGAGGAGTGAAGAGCTCAGTTTTATCATCCTCTGTCACACTGGTGTGTACTTTATTCTGCAAGTGCTTCCACTGGGGCAAATAAACCTCTCTGCATGCACAGAGTAGAGCACTAATCAGGTTAAATAAGGTTGGCAGATTCAGGTCACACCATAGGTAAAAATATCCATTATTATTCAGAAATAAAAAAGTACATACCAGAAAATAGACAAGAGATATTTAACAAAATTTTGGATGAAGAGAAACAAGCCTTGTGGATCATTCAGAGCTAGCAAAGCTATTGGTCCCACTAGCTCCATGGCTGGAAGCTTTTCATCAAAAGCTCTCCTCTCAGCAGGAGCTCCGAGACAACCAGAAAAAACTGTCAGAAAATCACTACCTGAGGAAGTACCACCCTCATTGATTTCTTTGATTTAGAAATTATTCCTGTGTTCTAGTCAGCCAGATAATTGTTTTACAAAGAGAATTACTAGTATCAGAACTTCAGCAGCTCTGAAATGTCCCTCGGCAAGCAAACAACTAACTCTTCCACCCACTCAGTACACCCCCACTTGTGAATTGCAATTAGCATTGCAAATGTCTTTCCCTTTTCAGAACTATTGATTGTGCTGTTAAATAGCAGCAGAGTTAAAATGCTTGGAAATCTGCTTTAGCTTCAATTCTCTGTTATCTATCTACCTACCTATTTATCTATCAATCATCTATCTATCCATCACAAAAAAGTTTCTAATTCTATACAGCTACTAACATAACACAACCTTCTAGTTATGGGCAATAGATGTTATACAATATTATTCCCACTCACCTTTCAAAACCTTTATTTAACACAGTCTAAACACTCTTCCCAATATTTAGGGGAAATATTCCAATTGTACATACCCCCTGAGCATACTCTATGTCAAAATTTCATGCCTAGTTAAAAAACCAGTACTTGGCCAGCTCATCTTCTATGAGTCTCTTTGGGTTTTGTACTTAATACCTTGCCTTACTTAAACCTGTTTATATAGATATATATGGATATGTTGGTTATAAGGAGGCAGAAATGAAGTGAGAAAAATAGTTGCTCTTACATGAAGATGTTGCTCATAAAGGTGGACAGAAGCCTGTATTATGATTGACGGGAGTTCCAAAAAATTGTAGTGGTGGGCAGTGAGCAGAACACCACATTGGTACAAGTATTCTTAATACACCAAGTGCAACCCCGGTATAAACCCTGCAATTTACCCTACACTACAAGACAATTACAGACATCCTATACATAATCCCACGCAGGCCTAGTGTCAGAGCTGAGAGATGACGCAGAAAGACTAAGAACCATTAGGGACTCTGAAAAAGAGATTGACTGGTGGAGCAGTCCTACCCCTTCACCATTAGGCAGAAGGAGGGCACCTTAGAGAAGGAGGGAAGTGGAAACGGTTTTCTGCTCAGAGTGACAGGCGAGTCCCTCCAGACCTACTTCACCTCCCCAGCTGCCCTTATACAACAGGTATGAGGCCCTGGAATCTGAGGACCAGGGGAATGAGAGTGTGGATGAAGGTATATTAGGAAGAAATTCTTTACAGATAGGGTAATCAGGCATTTGAATGGGCTGCCCAGGGAAGTGGTGGATTCTCCGTACCTGGAGGTTTTTAAGATGAGACTGGATGTGGCACTGAGTGCCATAGTCTAGTAACCATAGTGGTAACCATAATCTAGTAACCATGGGCTAGTAACTACAGGGGTAGTGGATCAAGGGTTGGACTTGATGATCTCAGGGGTCCTTTTCAACCCGGCTGATTCTATCTTTCTGTGATTCTGTGAATTGTCTGAAATTCAACAAGGGCCAATGCAGGGTCCTGCACCTGGGGAAGACCCCAGGCACCAGTACAGGCTGGGAGCTGATATGCTGGAAAGTAGCATTCTCTCTGGAGAAGGACCTGGGGTCCTGGGGAACAACAAGCTATCCATGAGCCATCAGTGGCCTTGTGCAGAAGCAAGTCAAAAGTATCCTGGGCTGCATTAGGAGGAGTGGTGCCAGCAGGTCAAAGGAGATGATCCTGCTTCTCTGCTCAGACCTAGTGAGGCTGCATCTGGAGTG